TTCATTTGAGCCGTTCCCTGATGCGCTGAACTTAAGTGAGGCATCAGATAGCTTGTTCTGTAAAACACGAACAGATCCAGTACTGAGAGTTTAGCCTGACATACATAATGATGTCAAGAGACAGACCTGAAAGGTTTACAGGCTTCAACTCTGTCTGGTTACTTTTGTATTCTCGCTTTAGAGGGAAAATTGTGATCACCCACTACTGACCTTCTCAATTGTGGGCTTGTGGGCCACAATTGGCCCTAAAATAGATCAAATCGGGCCCTTTAGTCATTTAGCCATTTTAGTAATTCAAACAAAAAGCATTAGCTCAACAGACATTTTAAGCAGATGGAATTTAGGACTGTGAAACAGACACAAAAATAAAATTGGTGAAATTGGTTTTGGTGTCATAGCTGATACGTATGAATCTGCTTTTATATCCATAATGAAACAATCAAGCAGGTATCTACTTATACATTAATACTTTGTTGTGATGGAATGTCCCTCTAAATTGTTCATTCGAACGAAGGAACAGAAACAACAAAGATTATAAATCAATAGATCTTCAAGAGTGAGTTAATACGTTCTTTTTCAGTTTTCACTTTTCACAATTGCTCATATTGCTCCAACAAATGAAAATCTAGTCAAAGATTGTATGCCAAGTGCTCCAGAGACTTTTTATAAATGAAAAAAAAAACATGTTGGGACTGGCCAACAACATCATCTCTGACCTTAACCACACTCTGAACAATGAGTATAAACTATTACAAACCTGAGATACAGGGTACCACTTTTAAAAAAGACAGATGAAGCTTTCTTCTATGCATCAGTCAATCCCTAGATGTTATAAGGCATTATCCTAGATACAAAGAACACTAAAGGCAATTAAATGAAATGTCATTTTGTTTTTCCTTGTTGTTTCGTTGTATTAGCTTGAATTTTTATGTTGCATATGGAGCTGCTCTGGTTCATGGATCATATTGCAGACCGAGTCTGAATATCAAATATAATCAGTCAATGAATTAATTACATTTAATTAATCACTTATCGGTATTGATTAAAAAGGGGCAATGTTCACACTTTTACATTCATATGTTTACAAACATAGGATATGCAAATGTCCAGCTCCTTTGCACTTCAAGTTTTGCAAATTTGAAATACAAAAAACTGTTACACGATTGCTTTTTTGTTCTGTAGCTGCTGACAGAAAAACAAAACAAGACAGAGCAACAACAAAAACAACACAATGCTACATCATAGCTGTTGTCAGGCATGATGTTTCTCCTGTGGAGAAGTCATTAATCATAACTAAACACCCCAACTCGTCTAAGAATTAAACAAAACATCTCACCTTTGGGTGTGTTTATGTATAAATCTAACACACACTAGGCTACAACGCAGTGCTCAGAGATGGAATTACAGAGCACATGTAGCTGGCAAAACAAATTTGCAATTCTCCTTGTCTATTCGCAAACCCCTAGTGTACTGCACATGCCCTCTAGAGACAGAACAAACAGCGGTTAAGATGTTTAAAAGGCTTTGCTTTCTTAGATACCTGAGCAGCTGAATACCAATAGACTGCTCTTACATTAAGGGGGTGTGGTGACAAGCTGCTACATTCAGAGCTAGCGGGGAAACGCTAACTCCTCTGCTTTTCTCAAGGGCAAAAATGTGCTTAATGCTTGTGCGTGATGTTATGTGAAGGTGTGTTTTTTTTGTTGCATGTGTTGTTTTCTGTCAGTCCGTTCAATACTAGAGCTGAGGTAAACACTGAGGCCCCACAAGTGTGTGTGCTATAATGTGTGCTGTAGTCCCCTTCCTCTGGTGGTACATATCCCACTGATTTCTAAAAGGTCACTGTCATTATTGTTGCTTAGCAACCTTGGATGAAAGAGCCATAGGTGTACTGTACTGTACTGTGGATGTGTATGCTGAGATACAGAGGATGATGGGAAAACTGATGAGTGTTTTTAATGAACTGACATTGACTAATCATGTTAAACACACCTTGCAGAGTGTATTCATGTCTTAGTGTCTTTCTGTGTTGGATGGACTTTTAGAGTTTGTTTTAAAAAACACAAAAATGAACCTCACAGGGAAGAAAGACGACACCTGAAATTTAAAAAAGTTATTCACTTGGCGGAGGTGGAAAAGAAATAAAGGAGACAAATAAGTGACTTTTCAAAATAAAGGATGATGTTGCAGAATCTGAATATAATACACCGAATATTTATTTTGACACGACTAATTGAAGCATCAGACCAATTCATTAAGGATGAAAATAAGTAATTGCATTAAAAGTAGGTGGAAAAATACTACATGCAGATGTTGTAAATATATATTGGAAGTTTGTTTATGACGGTAACACACGTGTCATAGAAGGTGTGAAGCAGCAATCAAAAGTCCTTACCTACTTAGTAACAGTCAGTCTTTGAACCCATCGGCTATCTTCTCGCAATGATATAGAATCTGGGAGCGTTTGACTGGCCAAGACTTACATTCTCATGCGTTGCCATTGTTTACATTTTCATTAACAACTTGAGAAGCTAGAATGAAGTTGAAGTTGGGAGACGGATTGGACTACGAGTGGATTGTTGGCTGCACTTTCATGCAGATAACTGAGTGTATTTTGCTGAGGACATGGAATTCTTTCTGGATGATGTTTTTGCATCTTACACAATGATGTCCGCCTACAAGTCAGTTGGTCTGAGTTTTTTTTCTTTCACAATGATAAAGCCAGTGCGAGGTATGTGCAGCGCCCAGCACAGAGGCACAGTGATCTCTGAGTCATGTCCCATTTGTGGAGTGTGATGGATTTCCCTCTTGCTCTGCTCCCCCAGCTCAGTGGGGAGAAAGCAGGACTGATAAGGTGATTTATCTGCACCTTTCCACCTCCTGTAATGGATGGCACATCCACCTTTACCTGAAACTTCATCATCTCACAGCTGCAGCCCCTTGCTCACATAGAGGTGTGAGAGAGAAATGAAACAGACATGCTGCACAAGAAAAAAGAAAAGAAAATGAAAACAGACTAACCAGATAGTGACTTCCTCTCTGCACTTTCTCATTAAGGTTAGCAGAGTGTGGGAACATGACACTTAGCGCTATGAAGACACTAAATCACGCAGCGGCATCAAGCACAAACAAAATATTGGATGGATCTGATTGATTTCTTAATTCCTTTGTGTGGCCTCACTCCTTTGAGGTCTTACTCTGTGTTTTCATGGCTACAAGGGCTGGAAAAATGATGGAAGGGTGCAACAAAACATGGGTATTTAGTTTAAATAAGGATTAGGTTGCTGCCATTAAATTATTCTTCAATTCTAGAAGCAGTGTTTTGTTTTAAGTGTCTAAACTACTGTTCAAGTAGAGTTTTTAATTTCAATACCTTAACCTCCAAAAATCTGGTTTGTCTTTCAAAGCTTTCATTGCTGTAAAGAAAACCCAACTCATTCCGGTGTTTTCTGATCTGCCACATGATTTAAGTAGAATCTATATACCTCGTTGCCTGTGGGCTTGAAAGTGTGTTTGCTTTAATGCCTCACCAATAAATCTGAAGTTCTCTACTTCCAGCAGAGCTTTGAAGAACCAGAAGAGCAACAGAGAGGTGCAGTACTGCCTATGTCGAGGAGAAGGGGTTTCAAAAACAAGATGATGTTGTGAGTGTTTAGAGGTGGTAAACAAAAGGGGGATATTTCCTTTTATGTCTTGTTCATTTGACAACATTTTGTGATAAAAAAAAAAAAAAACACATGCAGAAGCATCTGAAACAGGGAAGAACATCAAAGATCATTTGGTGTAGTAAAGTTTTTTTTTGTTTACCCTTTCCATGCCATTATTATCTCTGACCCCTCTGCTAGCTCATCTGCCCTCTTTTTCTGGGCCTCACAGCCATGTTTACAAACACTGCAGAGGAAGAAACCGTAAGTGTTTGGAACACACTGAACAATGAATGTATCGTGCTGCAGAAATGGTTTGGGTTTTTATGATCTTCTATCCTATTTTGGATTGTGCGAGCAACACCCAGTAACCCAATCTGATTAGGACTTGAAATATATGCAGAAGAGCAGCACAGCATTTGCAAAGCCAATTTTAGGGTCTGCAGGAAGTGAATATTTGATTCTGGTGAGCAGTATTTATAGCGAAATACAGAAAAATATGCTTTTCATTGTAACATTGGGACAGTATTTAATTATCTTCCCTGTATACTTTTTTTCTTTTAAGGACAGTCGACTATATTTTTTGGTTTACGTTATGAAGGCAGCTTGACTCCTTGCCTCAACCTCAAGAAGCCGTTTGGAAGAACTGGAAAACTTTTTTAATTCCACAACAACAATCAAGTGGATTTCAACTGTTTAAAGATTATTAAAATAATCATTAAACCATCCTAATTGTTCGGATTAAGCTGTTGAATAAATCCAACGTTTTTTAATGCGCAGGCATGTTTTTAAAGGGCATCAGTAACCCACTTTTACTTCTTTGCAGTTATTGCTTTGTGTTTATAATTTTGTAAAAGTCATAACTGCTGCATGTTTTTTTTAAAAGCTCACATTTGTGCTAATTGAGTATAATAATTCAACAGTGTAGACAATTCCTTTGATTTAGTTAATTTGTTATTAATTAAAAGTTAGAATGTATTTGTCCTCGTCCTAGCCCTGCATTTCTAAGCAAACAAGAATCTAAAACTATAAAAAATTTAACTTTCAGTTAATAAAATCCTATCAATCTAAGGGTCTCTTTATATCTGAATCACTATCTGTGTTCTCCTCTGTAAACAGCTCCTCTGCTCTCATTAAACGCAATTATTATTTTCACAACACAGAGAGGATACCAATTAACCTCGGTGGTCAGCATTAGAAACACGGACGCGTGCCGCTGGTTTGTGCTTCAACGCCTCGAGCTGCTGACTGATGCCCCTGTGTTTAAACAGCAGTGAGGAAGAGCTGCGTCGGGCTGAGGAGGAGGAGGAGGAGGAGGGAGACAATCAATAGCAGATCAAAGTGTTTTTAGTTTACCTTGGGCTGCCGAGAGAGAGAGGCGTTGTAATCAGCAAAGACACTGTTTACTTGTGAAGGCTTCATACGGCGAATGGGAGGACTCCAGGGCGCTAGGTTGGCTAGCTTTTGGTACTTTAAACCACCGATCTGAAATGAACGAAGGAAATAGACAAGAAAAATGTTTCTGCCATCACTTCCACAGAACAATATGAAATAAAACACAATTATTTTTATCAAAATGTATGTTTCAACATGTAGTTCTTCACCTAAAAAAAAGCGAAAAGCGACCAGTTTTACGGTTAAGTAAAACTAAAAGCCTACAGCTGTATCTGATCTGTGAGGATTCACAGTACAGCAGTGTGTTGAGCTAAATTCTAGCGCCAACATAGTAACATCGTCATAATCACAGAGCAAACAAGCTGTTTTAACACAGCATCGTCAAGGTGATAACTATTCCTCCTGAGGGACATTGACAGCACCAAATCTTTGCTATAGCTGTTAAAACATTATGATTTATCATCTGGGAGCCATGACTGACAGAGTTCGTATTTGTTTTGATTCATTTTTGTGACAATCCATACATTTCTTTTTTACTTATTTCACAGGGTAAATTAGAAATTGATGATTATTGCATAATAAAAGATGAGTTGTTGGGATTCATCCCCTGAACACCATGAATATCTGTAAGAAAATGACTAAAGAGCATAATGGTTGCTGGGATATATCAGCCTGAAAGTTCTCAACTCAAATTCAATTCACAGAAGGTGATGTCTTAACTAATGCCAGTTTGCATCCAACAAATTACACAGGGCCATAAAGAATCACAGTTCAAGTCCTGCTTTCCTGGAATCCTTCATTTTAAAATTGATACATTATTTGCTTCCTTTAAATGTGGCTACTTCATATTCAGAGACAGCTATAGTGTTCCAGTCCATTGGCTTATCACCTCATTAATGGTGCATTTCAGTCTTCATGGTGCACTTGTTGGCCAGTGAGGATTTCTGGAAATGAACATTTTGATCATTGGTAAATACAGATGATGAACTAAACCATGGATGTGAGGCTTAATGTTTTTAACCGATGAACAATATTGGTTTTCATGCACACTAAATGTTTTATACTGTAGATAATGTACAGTATATTTAGAATCATCCTGTGTCATACATATATTTTGTCGAATGCAACTTCCTTGCGATAAACTTGGTAATGTTTGATTTTTAAAGTTCCCAGGGACAAACTCTAGTGGCTCTGGTTCCATAAGTTAATTTCCCCTTTCAAATCCTCCCTTGATTTTTCACAAAATCCCTATATCAAGAGATTGGCTCCTGGAACCAAGACAAACACCCCAATACTTGTGACTATAGTACATTGAATTCGGCACCTAAATGGCATTAAAAAACGGAAGAAAAGGTAAAGGTATAACATCAACTGCGGCATGACAAGGTTATTAGTACATTTCTTGTTAGCTAACTAACTAGCTAGCCTGCTAGCAAAACTATCTGTTAGCATTCGGCGCTGAGGGGCGGGAAACATTGCTATGGTAACAACAAGCTCAACCAATCAGACTGGTCGCTGTGATAATCTATTATCGTGGGTAGAGTAGTTCTTTGCCCAGATATTGCGAATAAATCTTGTTTTTCATAAAATGAGGTTGATACCATACAAACTTGTGTCTCCTACAGGAGCATATCGTTTTACACTCGGGTAGCTCGTGGTAAGTCTACCCTGGATGGTTATGACATTATGGGTAATAATTAAATCCGCTATAGAGAAAATGAGTGGGAATTTTACTTCCGGGACAACAGTTGAGCCCTAGAGGCTGCGGTGTATACTCTAAAAGACAGAATAATGGAGCAAAGTTCATGTAGATAATTTATAATAAAGTTATTTTATTAACTAAATTGCATCCTCGTTTAAATATCTGTATTCATGTTCTTAAAATGGAGCTGCTTCTTTATTTTTTATTGTGTAACCAATAAATGTATACTGACTGTATTGAACGCTTTAAAAAATGAATTTGATATGTATTGGCTAAACAACCGTATTTCCCTTACTTATCAGCTATCTATTTCAGATGATAATAATAATAAGTTTAATGCCAGGGAAGAAAGTTCATGTTTTTTATTTTCTTCACAAATTGGAACTGGATGAAAATGAATCAAAGCAAATCAGAATTAGTATTTTTTTATTGTTTATTTTATTATTTTTATGTTGTGGGAATGGGAGGAAAAACGGAGCTATCCCGGAATAAACCTCGCAGTGAAGAGGCCAATGAGTGGGGCAGGAGGGGCATGGATGTGAAGCAGGGCTTGAATATTTAACTTAGAGGAAAAAATGGTGCTTTCCCGGAGCAAACCTTGTGATGGTACAACATTTAAGCTAAGGGGGTTTTAAGGATATTTTTATAATGTCACCAAAGAAACTCATTATTTTTTTTTAAAGAGCGCTTTAAAGCCCTGTTTGACAGAGCTGCAGAACCTGCAAAATGCGCTGGGCTTCTTTTGCTCCATCAGGTGAGTTTTGGCAGAGATCAAAATCTATTTTCAATTTCTGGTAACCCCATATTCATGGAAATCAGCACCAATTTTTTACCACCCAACTTCTTGGACAGGTCTTTGAAAATAGCCATGTGGAGGTTTGTGACAGTTTCTTTGATTATCAGGAAATCTAAATCCTTGACCTCTTCCCATATTTTCCTATACAAGCTGTCAGTGATGGTAGTTGGTGGTACCAAGCTGTAATCCACCTTTGCTTTTTGAAAAGCAAGGGTAACTACCTGCTCCACAACTTCTCTGACAGTTGATCTTTTGCTTTCTTCCAGTGCCGCTAAATCTTGTACCAGTTTAGACACTGACATTGACTCATTTGCCAATGGTACAATCTCACTAACTTCTACTTCCACTAAATTTTAATTTCAGTCACTGATGGTTTCTGTCTTGGTGTTACTGGCTTACCATTTTTAAAGGAGGAGCTCACCCTGCTGCTGCTGGATCCTGTTTCACCCTGCACGCTATTAAACACTGACTCAGTGAGGCAAGTTGCACTCATGGTGGCCCTAAGCAACTGTTTTGGTGCCATTAATTGTCTGTCTTCTAAAGAGGACGTCTCGGTGTCGCTTTCGGTTGTTTCACCCTGCTCGAGATCAGACACTGACTCATTAACAGAACTTACACTCTCAGTGACCTCTGGCAACAGTGTTGTTAACTTCATGTTTGTCAAAGTTTTCAGTCACCAATGATTTCTCGGTTGGTTTTACTAACTTTCTGTTTTTAAAAGAGGCGCTTGCCCTGCTGCTGCTGGACCCTGTTTCATCCTGCATGCGATTAAACAGAGACTCTGTGACGGGAGTTTCACTCATGGTGGCCCTAAAGAAAATGTTTCATTGTTATTAATTCGCCGTCTTCTGGAGAGGACGTCATAATGTCTCTTTTGGTTGTTTCATCCTGCTCGAACATTGACTCAGTAACAGAAGGTACACTCTTGGTGACCTCCAGGAACAATTTTGGTGTTGCGGATATTCTACTTTTTAAGGAGGTAGTCTCTTAGGTTAAACTGATGGTTCTGTCTTTTTCTAGAACACATTTGCAGCATACTCTAGTTTCTAGAGAATCAGCAGTGATGATGCTAGGGATCTTTGTGCCACTGTTGGTCCTGTCCCTGTCTAGACAACTGGGTATCAGAGGCTCCGCTTCCAAAAGTTCACTTTCAATGTCCTCTGATAACGGTGTCAGTGTCTTTTCATCTACGCCCTCTAAACAGCACATCACCCTATCACTATGGTGGCCAGCCTGAAACTGCTGCCACCATCTCATCAGTCCCAGGAAACTCCACACTTTGCTCTGTATTTCTCTATAGATGATGAGACACAACTGAGAAGGAGACGCCGTCCTGTTCTTTTCCAGTTCTTCGACAATCTCTGATGTTGTCATTCCATTTGTGATATGGTCGTAGAGGAGATCACTAAGTTCTGTTGTAAATACTTCAACATCACTGTTTGAAATTGTCACGGCAAACGCAACCCTGGGATTTTTACTACGTCTAGGGCTTCCAGGCGTCTGCTGCCCGCGGCATAATTGTTTGTGGCTGCCAACTAAGGTAAGGGAGACGGACCTTACCTGTTGCAGTCTTCTCTCGGCGCAACGATGCGTCACTCCCTGGACCAGCTCACTCTGCTCGGTTCAAACCAACGCTTTCCTCCGTCGGATGACAGTTCATTATTTAACAAAAACACGCGACAATAATTTAAAGACTTAATTACAAAGAACACGGGAAGGCACCAACAGTCTCTCGTCCAACTCCCACGAAGATTCTCACATTCCCCAAACATTTGTGTCCTGCACACCTGCCCCCCTCAGCTAATCGAGACGGTGGCTTCCCTGCCATTGGCCGTTCGACCAGGCAGGAAGGCCCGCCCCCCTCACTAGCTTGACAGCCATGTCATACAACCTATCAGGGACTGTGTTGCTGTAACATTCCTCCCCCCATTAACAAAACCAAAATAGACAATAGTCTAACATACAATTACCAGATTTCACCTACGTGCGTTCTGTTTTTGTTTTTTTCCCCCAATTTTCTTACCTTCCCAACTCTTAATATTTACATTTCCCCACGGATAACATTCAATATACCTATTCACAACTACAGGAGAATACTATCCCCCTCATAGACCAAAATCATTTCGTACCCACATCTCTTCTCCATTAAACAAGGTTTATCAATTTATTGTTAAGACTCATAACGAATCATTTCTCTCTTCAACCCCTGGATAAAGAGTCAGCTATAACGTTGCTCTTGCCTGCAATATGCTTGATCCCTAGATCATATTGTTGCAAAACCAGACTCCACCTAAACACTCTCACATTGGCACTGCGGAATTTGGCCAGAAAAGCCAATGGATTGTGATTTGAATACACGACAACCTCCTTGCTGCCTGCAACATACACCTCAAAATGCTTTACAGCAAGCACCAAAGCTAGAGCTTCCTTCTCGATGGTCGAGTAGGCCTGCTGAGACTTGTTAAGCTTCTTGGAGAAATAAGCTACAGGTCTCTCTAACCCATCCTCTCCAGCTTGGAGGAGAACAGCCCCTACTCCCACATCACACGCATCAACAGCAAGAAAAAACGGTAAACTGAAGTTTGGAGCTCTGAGCACCGGAGGACTGGATAACATGACTTTTATCCGAGCAAAGGCCTCCTGACACGTCTCCGACCAAAACCGCTTCACCTCCTTTCTCAAAAGGTTTGTCAAAGGGGCAGTGACCGTGGCAAAGTTCGGCACAAACCGATGATAAAACCCACACATTCCCAGGAGCCGCATCAACTGGGTCCGTGTGCGTGGTACCGGGAAGTCTACAATGGCCTTCACTTTGGCCACCCTCGGCAGCACTGGCCAAGTTAATCACCAGAGCGGCCTCCTGAAGAGAATCAAACAAAGACCTTATCTGCAGAATGTGCTCCTCCCAGGTTTCACTAAAAGTAACAACATCATCAATATAGGTCACAGTGTTTGTCAATCTCTGTGTGATAGAATTCATTAAGCACTGAAACGTAGCTTGCACGTTCTTCATACCAAACGGTAAGACCTTGAACTTAAACAACCCATTGTGAGTAACGAAAGCTGAAACTTCACTCGCCCGCTCGGTGAGTGGCACCTGGAAATAACCCTTCAAAAGGTCAACTTTTGTGACATACTTGGCCTGACCCACTTGATCTATGCAATCCTCTAGGCGAGAAATGGGGAAAGCGTCGGCCTTGGTGACAGTATTGACCTTCCTGTAGTCAACACAAAACCTGTCCGCCTTTCCTTCCTGGGCTGCCAGCACAACAGGGGAACTCCAAGCAACATCAACCGGCTCAATAACACCAATCTGAAACATATATTCAACCTCCTCTTCAATTACTCTCTTTTTATGAGGTGGGTAACGATAAGGGTGCTGTTTTATGGGCATAGCCTCACCAACATCAACATCATGCACAGCTTTATCTGTTCTTCCAGGAACATCCGTGAGCAACCTGGGATAAGAGTCAATCAAATGAATCACCTCCTGCTTTTGAGATTCCGTCAAATGGAGCAAATTATCCTCGAGAGAAGCCCTAGCTTGAGTGTTGTAAAACCTGGCGCTAACAATGTCCGGTGGAGGAGAGGAAACTTCCAGATTACCAGGACCTGACTGGCCCTCCTCCCCCGCCACTGACACTGCACAGCCAACCACTACTCCACGACCCTCATATGCCTTCAAAGCATTTACGTGGCACAACCGTGTCTTAGACCTCCTATCAGGAGTACTGAGGATGTAATTCAGGTCTCTCACTTTCCTTAAAACTCTGTAAGGACCAGCATAACCTGGACCCAACTGGGGACTTGGCCCTTGGACCAACACCAACACAGGGTCACCTCAGAAGAGCGACTCGCTGCCTTCTTATCATACCTCGCCTTCATGCGGGACTTGGCACCACCCAAGTTCTTCCCTGCAACCTCACAGGCTAACTGAAGCCGGTCTCTAAAAGAA